TGCCGAAAAATGTGATAAAGAAGAAAAGGCTGAGAAGGCCAAGATATAAAAGGCCATTCAGAAAGCCAATACTGAATTTGCAAGAATACATGCTGAAAATGCAATCCACCAGAAACCACCAAGCAATCAGTTTCTTGAGAATGAGTGCTAGGGTTGATGTGGTGGCAGCCAGAGTTCAAAGTGCAGTAACAATGGGCAAGGTGCCGAAGTCCATGGCAAGTTAGTTAAGTCTACGGTGTATGAACCTTGAAACGATCTCTGCCTTGATGGACAAATTTGAACACCAACTGGAAACACTAGATGTTCAAACACAACTCGTGGAAGATACGACGAGTAGCACTCAACCCCAACACAACCAAAAACCAAGTAGATATGCTGCTTCCAGAGATGGCAGATGAAGCTGGCCTTGATCTCAATCTGGAACTACCGCAGGGTCAAACAGAATCTGTTGACACCAAGTTTTGCCTCAACAGAACAGGATGAACTATCGCAGACACTTGCACATCTTCGTAATCAAGTGCAATTCAAAGACCTGGTGCTTCTGTTGCTTCACTCACTTATGAAACATTCTTTGTGTGTATAGATAGATAAGGTGTACTAAAAGCACTATACGTGTCAGAATGCTTAAATATTATTTGCATATAATGTTTTCTTTTGCCTCTAATAAATTAAGAAATTCCAGAAAATTTCCACCTTGACAGATCTTATGGTTCTGTGTACTACCTGTTAAAAGTGTGAGGGACATATTCCTGTAGATGTCCATGACAGAGCTAGATTTAGCTTCTTTTTAAACATCTTCCTCAGATGTGAATCAGAAATTTAGCATCAAAGTACTAGAGAGTAAAGTACTTTATGCAGAATATTGTATAATAAAGTTTTTTTTCTAATCCAAAGTAATTTTTAATCTCTGCAATGGCATGTGATACATGAAAATAACAATAGGGAAAGCATGTTTGCATAGCCAAAAACACCTCATTTGTAACAAACAATGGGCAATACCATTTTTTTGTGTTTTATGTTTGTTTTTGTTATCCAGGCAGAAAAGTAGTTGATTTGTAATCTGTGCTGCTCATCAACTTTTAATTTAAATTTTAATTTATTTTAATCTTAACCCAGTAATTTAATGACTATTATCTTAAGCCTTCATAGTTTTTCAAATCTTTCCTTGATAATTTTTTTTATAGTTAGAAAAATTCAAATCAAAGAAAAATAGCCCATTTTCAAATTTTCCCCTTACTAGATATCAGTGTCCTTAAGACTACTAGAAAAATTTTACTTTTCCTACTTTGAAACTAAATTCCAGAACATAAAAAGAAAAGCTCCACATGGTTATAGAAGGAAAAGGTAAAGACAACAACAAAAATATCTCTAACTCATACTATTTGGACAATTATAAGATAGTGGTCCAAATGGCCTTCATTATAGTCATTGAATATTTTACCTAGTAAAATACTCAAAACCAAACAAAACAGTCATTATGTCTTATTAAACCGAATGAGTAGATACTCACATACTCTAAGTTCCTTCCCCCACAAAGAATACTTACAGTATAAAAGGTATTTCCAATTGATTTATGAAGAAACAGACAGATCTAATGGCTAATAACACGTAAATAATCAGAGGGCAAAAGGTGGGCCTCAGATCCCTGCCCCTTCTACAACAGAGTATCTTTCTTGCTAACACCAAAGTTGTAATGGGCTCTCTCAGCTGAGTCTTCAGAGAGGACCACTGCCAACTTTCTTCCTTGGTCTCTTCCTCTCCATTTCCACATGCAAAGGCAGAAACACAACCCCAGTGCCCATAGCACTATACATTCTCCCCAAGGTTGAAATGACCTATGTTGGTCAATACCATGAACTGGGTCTAAAACCCATAGTAAGCAAACACCAACTAATCTTTCCAGATGACTCTAAGCAGCTGTGATCACTGACTATGTGATCAAAGGTGCAAACCAGAAACAGCAGGTCCTGTTAACAGCCTTGAGGCTATGATACTGGTTCAAGACATACGCAAGCGTTACATCTCTGTAAAAGCCATCTCTGTAGCTGGCCAAGGGACGTACAATGAGTCTTCTATTTTTCATCACATTTATTATATATGTAATTACTAGAAGTACTTTAGACACATTCCTTTCTAAATAATCACTCACAAATAAAAACTACTCAGAACAGAAAGTCTTGTTATGGCAAGGGCTTTTTTTTTTTTTTAATGTCAGGAATTCATTCAAGTGCTTTCTGGGTTGCCAAAGGACTATATTTGTATTTAGTTTAATATTGTGCATTGTCGGGAAAGTCATGATGCAGTTATGCACAGAAACACATAAAAAAAATATACTGACTTACCCGACAACATAATACTGCTTTCCTGCAAAAGTCGTGACATTATTTTTCTGTTTCTTGTGCAAAAATGCATCATGACTTTTCCAACACAATATTAATAAATAAATATAAATTTATCAAATTTGTATTTAACATACTATGCAATTTTATCTTCATGTCTTAACATATTGTTTACTGCAATTGCGTAAATGCACATGTTCATTAAGCCTAGAGTCGTCTTCCATGAGTATGTTTGTATCCAAATCCACCCAATGGTCTACATGCAAGTTTTGTCAAGGTAGCATTACTAATATATAGTTGTACCATACAGTGGCCAAGATAAGGCCAGGGAAGCTTTACTTATCATTTGCCACTAAATCTATGTCAACTTTACATACTCTGTAAAGCTGATAGTTTCATATAGAAGCTGCCCTTTGCCAGAATGTACCATTAGCTTAAAAGCGAAAGGCAAGAAAGCAAACCAAATAGCAACCACCACCTTTGAAGATGTCCTCTATTTAACACCACGGGGGGAAGTAATTACATTTAACAGAAGTTGATGCTTGTCAATGAAAAATACACAGCATGTGAACTATCTATATTAAATATACTGAGCAAGAGATACAAAATTTTTAGTAAATTTTGAAAAGTAAATATGAAAATATGTACCTTGTTAAAATAAGTTCTACATTTTTATCTTCAAGAAAGTCATTTCTGTATTTTTTATCACTTCTGACCATCCTCCCTCAAGCTCTTGTTGATATCATCTTAGCAGACACTCTCTTCTGCTAATACTTGTTTTCTAAACTGAGGACTAAACTCTAACAGGAAGAGGTCCAGCTCTAACACGGAGCCCTGGAAAATCTCAGGAAGAGTCACTGGTGATCATGGGAGAGAGCAACACTCCTTCATAAAACTGCCTATATCAGAGTAAATTGCTCGATAGTAGGTAGCCTTAAAACAGAAAAATGTAGCTACAAGTGGTAATACAGCCTATGTGAAATAAATGTATCTAGACTGAAATAACAACTATGGTGACAGGCACCATGTTAATGAGGAAAAAAGTGCTGTACATGATCTTGGGTTTCCTGTAACAATAACAAAAATACACAATTAATTTGTGCTTCATTTTTGAGGCATAACTTACCAATTTAGCAACTTTTCCATAGTCAATCCATCTGACAGTAGCAAAATTTGTAGATTCTGCACAGTTGAAACCGTGATTAAAACCAGCATGGTAGCCATATGGGAAAGTGATCATAAATTCTCCAGCCTCCTGGGTGATCTGCAGGGTAGAAAACACATAATATTTTCAAGTAATAAGACCTCCCAAATTGTGAATATGATTAAAATATATTTCCTATTAAAAAATGCTAGAAACTAAAGTTATTCTAATATCAAAGAAGTTTCCCTACCTCCTTAATTCTTTAATAGTGTTTTCTCAGGACATTTTTAAATGACTTTTCTAAACAGGATAGAACCTTCTAATACTTCAGTTCAATCACTCAGTCCATAATGAAAGATATGTTTTATTTAAAAATGTCTAAGCTACTCAAATAATTTCTTCATATTAGTTATCAATGTGTATATTTTAATATTTTAATAACTTACATTAATGAAGTCACATGTTATAGGAAAAACATATCTGCTGTATTTTAATCAGAGCAATAAAACTTTGATAAAACACACTGGACAAGCTATATTATGAGTCTGTCTCAATAAAGAGTTGTTGGAATTCAAGAAATTATACTTTTTTTTTTTTTTTGGCTATAGGGCACATGCCAGAAAGACAGAGAGAGAGACAGACAGAAGGCAAGAAATCACTCCCCTGGGGGTGGTAATGCCACAATCCCTACTCCTCCATTCTCCTCTCAGGATCTTGAGAACGCACACACATGCACCCGGTGTGAATTTAAGCCACCAGGACCAGGACTTGTACCACAATTGACTACATGGGAGTCCAGCGACATAGCCATTAGGCCAACTGCTGGACCCCCAAAATTATTCTTTCATAATACTCAGAGGATAATAAGTTAGCTGAATTCTATTTCATAGAAAACTACTATTCAAAGAATTATTCAAATATACATATGTATAAGTGAATGCATTTTAAAATACAATTAATATATCTTACATAAATGAGTCAAGAGTCTGAAAGCAAACACGAAAAATGTATTTATTCTGTTCCTTTTTTTTTTTAGATTAAAGATATTTGCTTTTGAGACCAGCAGATGGCGTAATGGCTACATTGCTGGACTCCCATGTAGTCAACCTCGGTTCAAGTCCCGGACCCAGTTGTTTAAACTCACACCAGACCCACGTGCATGCATGCCCAAGATCCAGAGGAGAATGGAGGAGAAAGGATTGCATTGTGGCCACCCCGGAGGGTGATTTCTCTCTTTCTGTCTCTCTGTCTCTGTCTCTCTCTGTCTTTCTGGCAAGCACACACACACCTTAAAGCAAATACCTCGCAAAAAAAAAAAAAAAAAGACATTTACTTTTGTATAATCACTAATGCAATACAATATATACCATGGGTTATTATTTTAGAAGAGTAAAGCCAAAAAAAAGAGTAATTCTTTCTAAAATTTGTCTACTTGATATTAGATTATAAAACTCATTATTTACTTTTTCAAACAGAGTAATAATATCCCTTTTTCTGGAAATGTTTCTAACCAAGTACTCAATAAGGTGTAGTCCTTTGACTGGAAATTCTTTTAATTGGTGCAAAACAACATAAACAATACTCATAGAATTTGGACAATGAAGCAAAGTTCTCCTTGATAAATACCTGTGAGGTATTCAGTTAATGATACTTGTTCACAGAGTCACTATGCTTTATTAATTCTGATATATCAAATTTTAAAACCACACTTCCAGCCAGTGACTCGAAGTGTATTTGTTTCTTTTTATATAATTTACTATAGTAAAGTACTCAGAGAATAAATGTATAGTTTGATCAGCATTGACAAATGTATAAACCCATAACTCACAGCCCTATCACTTTCATCACCCAAGAAGTCTCTCTCCTGCCCCATACCTGGCAATCCAAGCCATACTTTTACCTCCATAACCATTATTATCTGATTTCTTTCATCATTGGTTAGCTTTGCCTATCTTAGGACTTCATATAAAAGAAATCATACAATTTATTTTAATTAAGCATGTTTTTAAGATACATTCTGTTCAATGGAATCAGTAGCATGCCCATATGTATTGGTATTCCATTCCATGAATATATCATATGGTATTTAGCCATTCTCTGTTCAAGAACATCGGAATTGTCAAATATTTGCTTTATAGAAATAAAAATCACTTAAGCTCAACAGACCACTCATACATTATCTATGATTAAAATTTCTGTAAAATCTGGGACCAGCAGTTAGCGTAATGGCTATGTCACTGGACTCCCATGTATTCAACAGCTGTTCAAGTCCCAGACCCAGTGGTCTAGACTCACGCTGGGTGTGTGTGCATGTTTGCCCAAGATCCCGAGAGGAAAATGGTGGACAAGGGATTGTGGCGTGGCCATCCCCCCTGGGGGATGATTTCTCGCTTTCTGTCTCTCTCTCTCTTTCTGGCGAGCACCCCCCCTCTTTCCGGGGAGCCCACCCAACCTTAAACAAAAAACCCCCCAAAAAAAAAAAAAAAAAAAAAGTTCCTTTAGGGCAGAGCCAGGAACAAGAGGGTACCCTAGTACAGCTTATTTACAAGAGGAGAGTCAGGGGACATATGTATTCTCTGGGGTGGAGAGGGAGGGAAGGCAGCTCTTCCTACAGGCACAGGCAGGCCACCTGGGGGTGTCTGCACTGCGACCCACTGTCTATGCCCCTTAGAGTAGTAGGATTGTGGTGTGGCCATCCCCCCTGGGGGATGATTTCTCGCTTTCTGTCTCTCTCTCTCTCTCTGTCTTTCTGGCAAGCACACACGCCCTATAGCAAAAACCTCCCAAAAAAAGAAAAGAAAAGAACTCTATAAAATCTAATACGCATGGGGGCCGGCATGTGGCATGCTGGTTAGATCGCTGGAATTCCCACATAGCTGACTGTGGTTAGAGTCCTGGACCTGGCACCTTGCTTCCTGGCCCACTCACTCTCGCTCTCTCTCTGGCAAACCCATACAAAAAATAATAATAATAAAGTGAATAATTTTAAAAAGCTAATATAAGTACATAAACTGTCCACATAAACTGTCACCTAACCAAAAAAATCAGATGAGTTCCCTCCCTCTTCTGACCTAGCATAATAATGAATTTGTGTATTTCTTATGGAGAAATAGAAATTTCTTATATTACCATCTATATATTTTTTCTGCTTCTTTAACACTTCCTTCCTAATAAACATTGTCCCTAATTATAACTGATTTGAAATTAAGATTCCTATCTTGGGATGTACTCATTATTGGTCTTACTGTGACCACAGTCTTAACAAAAAAAGGAAATTCAAAAAAGATACACTATTCAACTCTCAATTTCAACATATTTCCACCTCAAGCAGAAGAATGCTTCTTGACACTTAGAAAAATTCAACTTTGAGTAAAGTCTTCATCCACCCCACTCATGGCTGCTCACCCTCTCTCAAAACAAGGTCACATTTAGGGACTATGATTAAGAAAAGTAAAAAAAAAAAAAAAAACAGAGAAGAAAGAAGAGTTATTTCTTAATGTTCCTCCAAGTAGCTAAGTACTTAATCCTCCTAAGACTGAGAGAGGGCTTTTATTTATCTGGTCAAAAGCTTTTTCCATTTCAGCTTCTTCACACAAAAATGTTTAAGCTCTGTAATTCTGACCCAATAAACACTCACATACACAAAGAACACAAGACCAAGTATCTACCGAGTTTTATAGAACTTAGTCTTCAGAAATACTCCACAGAAGCAATATCTGATTATTAGATCATCAAACAATCTTATCCATAATGAAATCTCAACTGTATTATGTCTGAGTATATGTAAAAGCAAAATAGTACTACCATAATCACTGATTTAACCAACCCAACTGCTACTAATAACTGCTTTGATTTCTTTTTTAAAAATAGATCACATATACATAACTTACAATGCTCATATAAAAGACTTGTAATACAGAAGCACTGCTACCTATTTTGTAGAATATACTGTATTTTATTTGCAATATTATCATAAGTGAACTATAATAGGATAAAAATCTCTAGTAAATATAACCCCTAAATAAAATTTCAAAATAGGGTTTAAATAATTGACATTACAAAACATGAAAGTGAATTTCTCTGCAGATATCCTAAAAAATTATACACAAAGTCAAGAATACATCAGCCTACATTAAATTCATTTTAAATACAAATAATACACACAAAAAAATCAATTTGTGTAAGAGGAATACTAATATACCTTGTCAAAGGGAATGCCATACTTCTTCAATACTGATGGAGAAATCAGTGTCATCTTGTGCCGAAGAAATGCATCACACCCTTGGGAGCTGCTGGGGAAAAAACCTAAAGAGAAACAAATACAGGCACCATTGTGTCAATTAAGATAAAATGTCAGATAATTGTTCATATTTTTATATTTAAGGTCCAATGCCCTTACAACAGTTTTATGTAGCCAACTCTACCACAAAAAATATCTCATACTGGGACCAGTAGTTAGCGTAATGGCTACGTTGCTGGACTCCCATATAGTCAACTGCGGTTCAAGTCCTGGACCCAGTGGCTTAAACTCACACCGGGTGCGTGTGCGTGTGTGCCCAAGATCTCGAGAGGAGAGTGGAGGAGAAGGGATTGCAGCATGGTCATCACCCTTGGTGGGTGAATTCTCGCTTTCTGTCTCTGTGTCTCTTTCTCTCTTTCTGGCGAGCACATGTGCCCTATAGCAAAAACCTCTCAAAAAAGAAAAAAAAAAAAAAAGCCTCATACTTTGAAAATTGAGGTCAGTGGGAATTCTTAAAAATTAAGGGATGAGGGACCAGCATATGGCGTTATGGTTATATCACTAGATTCCCAAATGGCCAATCGTGGTTTAAGTCGCGGGCCCAGCAGCTTGAAATTCACGCAAGGCACAGGAGCATGCATGCCCAAAATCCCGAGAGGAGTGCAGAGGAAAAGAGAATGTAGCATGACCACTCCCTCCCGACCCCGGGGGTGATATCTCGCTTTCTATCTCTGTCTCTCTGGCAAGTATACATATTCTATAGCAAAAATGTCTCTTAAAAAAAAAAAAAGTAGGGGATATATATTTATATCATCAAAGGTTGATTTTCTTTACAAAAGAGATTTACCCAAGTGTTTTGTAACATACTAATTATTAATCTTTATGAATCAAAATAATTTGAAACAAATTTTAACTCAATATGCCTGATATCTAAGTGACGAAAATATTAAGATGGTTCAGAGAGACAAGTGTAGCTTTTGATAGAAGAATCTCTCACTGTAGACTCCTAGAACTGATGGCTCCAGAAGCAGTCGTCATGATGCCTGCCACATAGTGAACACAGAGCAGGTTCACACCTTTCTTTGTTTCTTTCTCATCAACTTAAATCTAACTGCAACTAATTTTCCGAGTCAGTTTCCTGGCTAACATCCATCAAAGGAGTGCAACCCAGCCTCACCAGCCTGAATGGGAGTAATGTTTAGAGGGGGCTTTTAAAGGAGGAAAGAAAACATGCCATTCATTCAACAGTTTTTAGGCACCAAGACACAGTTGTTTTTCTCCATCACTGACTTTAATCCTGCAGTTGTGTCTGAGGCAGAATCATTAGCTCAGTGATGCAAGCTAGAGGAAAATGAACATGCGTGATGCTCTGCTCATCACCTTCCTCCCTTCAAATGAGAAGACTTCCAGGCTGAATGGACTGGGGAAAAAAACAACGAGAAGTAAGAAAAACAGGGGAACGACAGAGCAGAATCACAGAAGGACAAGAAAAGGTGAGAAAAGTGGGGAAAATGGGTTGTGGTGTGAACACAACCCACTGGGAGTACATACTCTCTGCATATTCTAGGCAGCACACATTATCCTTCAGCAATAAAGAAAAAAATTTTTCAAGTAGCACATCACCCTAAAATGTCTGTAATTGATTTTTTTAAAAACATATTAATAAAAACTAAAATATTTTTGAACATGTGTCAACAGAAACTTTACAAATACTATCATATTCCACAGTACCAATAAGAATAAAAAGCATAGTTCCGCCCTATGTTGTCATGTGACATGACCCTCTGCTTAAGGTTAAAATTCATAATACATAAACATAAAATAGGGCCAGCCAATGGTGTGGTAGTTAAGGCACTAGATTCCACGTGGCTGGCTGAGCAGTTCCAGTATGAGCCCCAGAGGCATAAGAACACATCTGGTAAAATCCCAAAAGGAGAGAGAAACAGAAGGGGTGATGATTGGACCATTTCTTGTTTGCCACCCCCATCTCTGGACCCTCTCTCTGTCTGCAGAAGATACATGCATTCTCTGACAAATTAAAAAATAAAACAAAACATTAGTAGTTAGAGAAAGTACAACACTGGGACCAGCAGTTAGCGTAATGGCTATGTCACTGGACTCCCACATAGTCGAACGCGGTTCGCATCCCGGGCCCAGTGGATTAAACTCACACCGGGCACGTGTGCGTGCATACCCAAGATCCTGAGAGGAGAATGGAGGAGAAGGGATTGCGGCATGGCCATGCCCCCTGGGGAGTGATTTCTCACTTTCTATCTCTCTGTCTCTCCCTGTCTGTCTGGCGAGCGCACGTGTCCTATAGCAAAAACCTCTCCCAAAAAAAAAAAAAAGAAAGAAAGAAAAGAAAGTACAACACTAATATGATGGCTGTCTACACAATGACATGCCTTGAGTCCAAGATAAAGGCACAGTTGGGCAGTCTGCAATGAAAACCCATGGAAATGTTTTAATCGCACGATTCAAATGCATCTATCAAACTTTTCCAATCTGTACTTTGTGTAACACTAAATGAATTAAGTTTTAAATTAAAATCAATGAAGAAAGAAGAGTCTATTTAATTTTCTTTTGATATGGATTTGTAATCAAGACCTGAACAATGTGGTGACTGGTCATAAGTTAATTTAAATTGGAAAGCACTGAAGGAAGGTAATTTGCAGTATATTAAGAACTTCACATTGGTTCAGAATTTATATTTACAATATGCTATAAGAATTCTATTTTACATCATCCTGGAAAACACCTAGTAAACAACACAAATTACATCTAAATCATGTGTCTTAAAATGAACTTTACCACAAAATACCAGGAGGGGTACATGGTTCATATTTGACATATTCCATAGTCTATAAAATGCATTGTGTTCAATATGTAAGTAAGTCTATATAACCAGAATGCTATTTGATACAAAAATTATATTTTTTTTTAACATTTTTGCCATGAAGCATATGCACTTGCTGAGAGAAAAAGACAAACCAAGACAGGGAAAGTGAGAAATTAGCCCCCAGGGAAGATGGCCATGCCACAAGCTCTTCTCCATTCTCCTGTCAGATCTTGGGCACACATACACACAAGCCTGGTGTGATTTTCAAGCCTTTAGGTCCAGGATTCAAACAGTGTTCAGTCATGTGGGAATCCAGCACATTAACCACCACAACTGCTGGACACCCCCAAGTGATAATATTTTTTAAAATTTAGACCATGGGACCAACAGTTGGCAAAATGGCTATGTCACTGTACTCCCATGTAGTCAACCACGGTTCGAGTCCCAGACCCAGTGGCTTAAACTCACACTTGGGCGTGTGTGCGTGCATGCCCAAGATACCGAGAGGAGAATAGAGAAGAAGGAATTGCATGGCCATCCCCCTGAGGGGTGATTTCTTGCTTTCTGTCTCTCTCTCTCTCTCTCTCTTTCTGGTGAGAGCGCACGCCCTATAGCAAAAACCTCTCCAAAAAAAAAAAAGAAAAAATGTATTCTAAAAACATGTATCAAGTATGTTCTTTCCTCCAGATAAAAATTTCGCTAGTTAATATTTTATATTAGCTATTACAAAGTATGGAATTATTTTAAATCCTAGTCTCATAAACCTCAAACAGGAAAGCATAAAGTTGCTATTATATCACATTAAGTTTCAATCTTGGGAAGATTTAAAAATAAAAGTTTAGTGACATATTCTGTGGATATACAAACACTAACTTGGAGAAGCTGACAATAGTTATTAGCCACTGAAGAAAGAAGAGATGAAGAGAAGAAAGAAAAAGGAGGAGGGAAGGAGAAATCAAACATGTTGATCTATTTCCACAGATTTTGCTTAAGATAATTTCACTTGAATATACTTAAAATTCACTTAGGTTGTTTTGATATTATTTAGTGTTTTTGTAATACAGTCATGTGCTGCATAATGATGTTTCAGCCAGTAACAAACAACATGCATAATGCTGGTCATATGAGATTATAATGGAGCTGAAACACCCCGATTGCCTAGTAATGCTGTAGGTGTCACAAGGTCCTTGCCCGATAAAATACTCATGTGTTTGTGGTGATGCTGGTAAAAGGAAACGTGTTGGACTGCATGCACATGCTACCATATATAATACACAATATTTGATCATTATACTACACAACTATATTACTGGCTTATTTATTTGCTATCCTGTACTTTTACCATTATTTCAGAATATAACACTGTTTTGTTTTTTTTTAAAGTTTACTATAAAACAGTATTCCATGTGATGCCACCAGTAGCCTCATAAGTGTCCTGGTTACAAGGTCTCTTGATTGCATTCTTTCTTTTATGCTTGACTTAATCATGCTATTTTCTCCATCATGGTCCTTCTAGTGGGACAAGATGTGGAGGTGGAAGGCAGTGATGTTGACATGATAGGCTATGTAGGTCTAGGCTAATATGTGTGCGTCTTTTTATAGAAAAGTATTTTAAGCAATAAATAAATAAAATGTTAAAAATAGAAAAAAGTAGGACCAGCAGTTGGCATAATGGCTATGTCACTAGACTGCCATTAATCGACCGTGGTTCAAGTCTCAGACCTAGTGGCTTAAACCCAGGCTGGGTACATGTGCATGTGTGCCCAAGAGACCGAGAGGAGCATGGAGGAGAAGGGATTGTGGTGTGGCTATTCCCCTGAGGGTGATTTCTCACATTCTGTCTCTCTGTCTCTCTCTGCCTTTCTGGCGAGCGCACGAACCCTGTAGCAAAAACTTCTCAAAAAAAAAAAAAATTAGAAAAAACTTTGTGCAACAAGAATATTTTTAAATTGTTTCTGTAAAGCTGCATAATGTATTTGTGTTTCAAGCTAAGTACTATTTAAAAATAGAGTTGAAAAAGTTTATGAAGTAAAATGTTTCACCAAGTGAAGAGTAAGGTACTAAAAAAAAAAAAAAGTCTTTGTGAATTCAGGGTAGGCCAGGTGGAGTCTGTGGTGGTGTGCAGTAGTGTACCACCCCTCGCGTTCACTATGTACTCACATTCTGGGCCCACTAGCTCCATTTAAGGTAAGTACCCTAAACAGGGTGGACCACTTTTTATGTTTT